GTGGTAACTCCTTGGGAGCAGAATTTTCTTTTGCTCTCTTAACACTTCATCCCAAGAAAATGGTAGGGTACACTTTCCATGTTCTTCAGCATCTGCAAATTAGGATAACAGCAATATCACTCTCAGTTCATCAGGGAAGGTCAATTTGAATGTAATTATGCATATGAGATGTGTAGAACAGGACACCTGGTGCCAGAAGAGTGCTTGGTAAATGTGTTTCTCCCACTTCATGGGTGCTTTCCCAAGGCAATTGTTACCCTTTACCTTACTAAAGACTATGAACCTTACCAGGTGGTGGTGGTGCGCACCTTTAATCCCAGCACTCTAGAGGCAGAGGCAGAGGCAGGTGGATCTCTGTGAGTTTGAGACCAACCTGGTCTACAAGAGGTAGTTCCAGGACAGGCTCCAAACCTACACAGAGAAACACTGTCTCAAAAAACAAACAAAAACCAAAAAAAAAAAAAAAACCCCACAAAAAACAAAAAACAAACCCCAAAACAAAAACAAAAACAAACAAAACAAAACAAAAAACCCAAAAACAAAACAAAAACAAAAAAAACCAAAAAAATAAAAAAAAACCCTAAAAACAAAAAACAAGCAAACAACAACAAAAAAGACTGTGAGCATCACTATTCTGTGGCGGTGGGGTTAGAGATGAATTAGAGAAGACCTCTCCTGAGGGATTTCCGGTGGTCTCCACAGAGAAAACTGACATTTCCATCCTCATTCTATCTTCACACCATTCACTATTTTGGGGGAGGTATGGAGAGGCTCTGTTTTCGGTTAACAGTTTGTGTGTACTAATTTTGCATCACCCACAATTAGAGGATTTGAGAGTACCAAAGGAATCAGTACACAGTAAGGGTGCCGAGCAGTGAGTCATTCCTGAAGGAGCCAGAAGGCTTCATGGAATAATGGGTGTTGATTATGGGGAAAGATGCAGTCTCCATGCACAGGCGTAAGGGACAACCTGGTTGTACAGAGGAGTGGGCTACGAATTTTTATTTTCCTCACACCGGATTTCAGTCTGGGAAAGACTGCCTTCAGTTTCCCTTCCCAGCTACATTATGCATGAGAGAGGGGATGGGGAGGGAGAGAACGAGCGGGAGAGCATGTGTGTAGGGAAGGGAGTATGTGGGTAGTGGATGGGTGTACAAGGTCTGCTATGACAAAGAACTACAAGCTGAGTGGCTAAAGCTGCAGGAATCTGTCTCCTCCTGATTTGATTGCCCAGAGGCCTCGCTCCTGGGCTTGCATGTGATTGTTGGCCTCTGGTCCTCATGTAGACTCACCTCAGCCTCTGCAGTCATCCTCTTTCTTTAAGGACATCAGTCACATCCAGTTCAGGACCACAAATGACATCGCTTTGACTTGGTCGCCTCTTTAGAGACTGTCCCCAAAATAGTCATCTCCTGAAGTTTGGGGACAATTGTTGAGGGAGGTCAGCAAAACAGCTTAGTCTGAAACCCTGAGAAAATGCGGTGTTATCTCTGATTTCATGCTCCTCAAAAGCTCTTGGTGATACTAGTGTGAGGGGGTGGAGTTGGGTTTTAATGTCTGCATCTCTACAGAGCATGATCGATCAGTGAGGAGAAGCCAGGCAGAAGCCGAGACATGAGTTCTAGCTCTGTCCTTCAGAGAAAACTGCTGTTTCTTTTTATCTTGTGTAATGTTGAAAGGAATTGTCATCTCTGGTCCCAGCAAGCCACAACACTTCCCTTCTGTCTCAATCACTAATTCAGGGTTAATCATGCTTGCATGCTGGGAAGTAAAATTAAGAGTGTTGCCTGGGGATGTGTGTGCCTCCCTGACCACACCTCAGAGGTGCTGGAATTTCAGGAAGTTGTCCTTGCTTTTTGTCTCCTGCCAGCGCATCTCTACTGTTTTAGGAAGTGGAGAGCAGTTTGGAAATACATATGCTTTCTGATAGTAACCTTTGTTGCCAAGAGTGTGTGCCAGAGAAAGCGAAGAATAACCAGGGCTGCTGGGAGGGAAGCTGAGGGACTTTGGAACCGTGCTACCCATCCCAATGGGCCTTAATCATGAGCCAGCTTGCCTTTAACTGTATAAACTCACAGAGGGAGAAATCGTTTCTCATTATATTTTAAATTTTGTTTTCCTGTGTGTGCGAATGCACAAGTATGTGGCACCATGTGTATCGATCAGAAAAGTACTTGTGGGAGTCAGTTATCTCCTTCCACTTTGTCTCTATGTGAATGAGAACTTACACAGCTCCCTGTGAACCCTTAGGAAATGGTTTCCTTCTTACATTAGTGCAAGCCCTGTACTCCTCTCCACCGCCCCCTTTATTTGAGACAAAGTCTCATATATTCCAGGATGGCCTCAGATTCACTATATGATTGAGAAAGACCTTGAACTTCTGATTCTTGTGCTTCTACCTCCTGAGTGCAGGGACATGGGTTACCACACTCTCCACTACATCTGATTTTATTCAGTGCTGGGATTTGAACCCAGAGTGTCATGCATGCTACGCAAGCACTTTACCAACTGAGTTACATAACCAGCCCTGTACTAGAGGTTTTCATCAGACAACTCTCAATGACCAGAAAACTGGAGGAACTCATGTGAACATACATTAGAGCCAGACCACGCTCTCAGTCCTCTACATGTGTGGTCTGCCTTGGTCCTGCTGCAGTCTTCTGAGGCCTGAGCCATACTCACCTTCAGAGGGGACTGAGAACTTTCTGAGCTTCCTGAATCTTTTCCTGGCTACTTTTCTTGAGTCTCGTGAACTTCTCTCCTTCCAGAAGGGAATTTTTCAGTTGGGATGAAATAACTACACAATCACCCTCATGCAGAGGGAGGGCACCTTTCTTTGCAGGACCTTACCATAGTTTAGATTTTTCTGTCTATCTCTGTCTCTCTCTCCCTCCCTCCTCCTTTCTCACCCCCTCCCTTCCCTCCTCTCTCCCTCCATCCATCCTCCCCCTCTGTGTGTATATGAATAAAGCTGGGTGTTCCATCTAGGATGGTTTGATTGATGTATACACTAGAACATCTTTAATAATTTAATGTCTGCTTCAAAGGTGTTTACACACACACACACACACACACAGCACATAGCTTTTCACTTATTTATTACAGATCTGTCAGAACAGAGGTTTGGTGTGTGTGCATGTGTATGTGTATGTGTGTATGAGTGTGTGTGTTCCCTGAATGACAGTGTCATGGTAATAGTAAATTTTATTCCAGACTAGGGGTATTTTAAAGGATTATAAGCCTTTTAACTAATGTTACCATCTTATTTAAATTGATCAAATTGCTATTTCAGCATCATAATTTTACATCTTTTAAAGCTGTGCCAGGCTGCTGTGGCTTTATTTGATGACTACTAAGTAGCCATGCTGGGGAAGTCTAATGGAGATAATGAGATGAGAGCATAATGCTGATGGCTAGTGATGGTGATAATGGCAGGGAACCAGAGTGAAATTTGGAACTAGATGATAAGAGATTAGGGAACACACCAGCCCTCTGTAAAGAGAAAAAATTAAAAGTTTGGGAATTGGTCAAAGAAAGAGGTTAAAACTAAGGGGAAGAAAAATAAGAATATAAAATCTAAAATCAAGGAATCATGTTCTCACTTTACAATTAATTCTTAGTGTAAATCCAGATGTCAGGAAAATAGATTTTTCTCCTACTTCATGTTATCATCTTAATAGATTGTAACCATCACCCAGAGAATTGAGGACTGTATTTACATCCCTCAACAATTAAATAATGGGTTTTTTCTTTATTTTTTTATGAACACATTATCTAGATACACCTCTCCACGAATAAGGAGAATTGTACCAAGGCCCCAAGGCCAGGAAGTTGCCCCTGGGGAAGAACTGGCAGAGGGCTGTTCTTAACCTGGTGTGGGGAGTTGTTGAGGCAGTGAGGTATCATCTGCACAGGGTACAGGCAAGCTTAAAAAATAATAATATGTTCTGGCCAAGGCAATCTCACAAGCAGTGCAAGTGGATAGTTTCTAAGTCACTGGTGTGCAATTACCCCATTGCCTGAGAACCTCTGGAAGATGCTGTTCTTCTCAGTTGTGAACATTGTGGGTTTCTGTCCAGTACTTCTTACAAAACTCTGCTCAACAGTCCTTACAAAGTCCAGTGCCTAGATCATACCAGGGCAAAGGCACAGAGATGTTTGGTTTTCAGGTTGCTAATTCTTTAAACACTGCAGTCAGTGAGGCATTGTGTAGTTGTCACCTTCTATGGCCCCTAGAAGGACACATGAGTATCTCCCCGATGACATTCAAGTGAGGAATACAGCCTCATTTTGTGATTTTTGCTTAAAGTGAGATACCTTTAGGCCACACTTTCTTGGCTCCACACTTACCCAGGTTGGTCTCCTGCTACATGGTATTGTTGACACTGAGTGGGTCAGCATTTTTTCTCACTCGTTTGATGGGGACAAGAAGTAAATCGTGGGACTTCTGTACTGGCTTTTGCACTAGTGAGCACTCTCTGCCTCTGTGGACCCTGGCTTTGCTGCCTTAGGCTCAGGTGTTCTAAACTGAGTGTGGCACACACTTGTCTTCCTGAAAATCTTTGAGCCTTGTTTCTAACTTTCTAACTTTCATTGCAGTTTTCATCAGATGCAAGTTTTTCATCTCTTTGCCTTATTTTATTTGTAAATATTCTTTTTATTCTTTTTAATGCTTTTTTTTTTTTTAATTTTAAAGATAGGGTTTCTCTGTAGCTTTGGAACCTGTCCTGGAATTCACTCTAAAGACCAGGCTAGCCTGGAACTCACTGAGATCCACCTGCCTTCCCAGTGTTGGAATTAAAGGCGTGTGCTACCACTGCTCGGCTCGGTGAAGATTTTAAGGGCGGATGCCCAGTGAGTGTAGACACTGATTACCCTATAGACTACTGCAGGTGTGAGGAGGTTTTACTTGGCTGTGATAGGCTGAGCATAGTTCTGTAGTGTGTGCTGTTGGAGCCCTGTCACACTTCTTTTACCCGTTGTTTCTTTTGCTCCCTAAGAGGCCAGCAGAAATAGTAGATGAGGAAGAAGATGGAGAGAAAACAAACAAAGACATCAAACAGAAAGAAGACTTTTCAGCAATGAATGGTGGAACTGAAGATGGGGGGAGTAGAGAAGCTGCTGATGCCCTTAAGCAAGAGGAGGAAATGCCAGACCATGGAGGGAAGAAGGCAAGTCCCTCTCGGGTAAATGGTACCACTGATGAAGAGAATGGTGAGGAACTGGACCAGGTTACTGAGGAGCTTCAACCAACAGTGGATGAGGAAGGAAAGGCTGAAGGAGACAACCCTGGACAAGAAGAGGTACTTCTTTTATTTTGGTTCTCTTATGCATAAATACCTGTGCACACATGCTTGCCCACACATAAACATTCTTAGGAAATTAGCCAAACACTTAGAGTCTGCAGCAAAACTCCGTATGGTAGAGTAAGAAACACTGAGTACCATTTAATTAATTTTAATTTTTACTTATTTCAGTCAATTAGCAATTATTGTCATGTACATTTGTTTCTTATTCTGTCCTCTATCTTTCCATTCATATACCCATTTATCTACCCACATGCTATCCACTCACCCACCTACTCATCCATTCATCCACCAATTTATTTATTTACTCACCCACCCACCCAGCCACCCATTCATCCACCCACCAGGCTAAGACCAGGAAAGAACAAACTAGAAAATGGAATCAAGCTCAGAGAGACTTTAAACTAATTTAAAGAAAATCATGGCTGCCGGGCAGTGATGGTGCACACCTTTAATCCCAGCATTTGGGAGGCAGAGACAAGTGGATCTCTGTAAGTTTGAAGCAAGTCTGGTCTACAAAGCAAGTTCCAGGACAGGCTTCAAAAGCTACAGAGAAACCCTGTCTAGAAAAATGACAAACAGAACAACAAACAAACAAACAAACAAAAAATCCAACAACATTTAAGCCATTATCAGGACTTCTTTGTTCTTTAGAAATATTAAAGTCTAGTTGTTTAACCCAAATTAAATAGTTTCATGAAGCATCCAGCATACAAGGTACTGGTTTATTTCACTGTAGCAAAGCACAAAAGAGAGAAAGGTTAGCAGCAGAGTAGTGTAAAGTGTTCTCATAGCCAAGCTTTAACAGTCAGCCTAAAACTACCTGTATTTCACTATACCCTTTGACAACTGATTTTTAATATCTAAAGGAAAATTCTTGGCACATCTCATGTTTCATCTTTACTCCAAGATGAGATTTTCATAGTGTGGCTGTGTGGACATGCAGAACACAATTCCTCATGTGGAGCTCAACATAGTACTCCTGGCTGTGTAGAGAGAAACAATAGTGGGTTTCACAAAGTTCTCTGGTGTTGCAGCCTTTGATGAAAGCTTACAACATGAAATCAAAGTGTAATTCTCCATGGGGCTCTGTGGGAAGACCCTGATGTGAAGCCTTCCAGTGGTTGAGCTTATAATTCATTGTGTGACCTAGTTAGACTTCACAAAATGCATGTTTTGTAAAAATCTTCCTGTAATTTGCAATAACATAGAATAAGGCCAGAGGGCATTATATTAAGTGAAACAAACCTGACACAGATACTGTATGAGCTCCTTTGTATAAAAAGCTGCGTTTATAGAAGCAGAGAGTAGAATGAAAGTTACCGAGGACTAAGGGTTGGGTCTGGAGAGATGTTGGTCAAAGAACAGGACATTTTCATTCTGAAGAATAAGTTCTGGAGCTGTGTCATCCAACACAGTGGCTATTCCTAACAGTATGTGCTTATGCTAGAGAAATTGAAGATGTGAGGTATTGCAAATGTTAATGAGTTCAAGTTAGCCGACCCACAATGCACATCGATTTTAGGACATTATATGTTATGTCATAAACAGATATTTTCAATCAATTTAAAAGCTAAAGTAATAAAAATAGGTTTTTGGTAGGAATTGGACATCACTTAAGTTCAGGGTTGTATAACTTGACAAGGGCCTGAAGCATAGGTATCTGTGGTGTGTGATGTGGTGAGCCTAATTCTTGGATGCTCAGATAAGTGGCTCATTGTCCCAGATGGAACAGTTACTCACAGGAGATGGAGTTTTACTTGATTGTCCCCTCTCTTGCAATAATTATATATGTTATCTTCGTTTGCCCTCATGTGTTAATATACATATACTTCAAGTATATCAAGTATGTGAACATCTAAACTTATATGTACTGTAAATATAGGTTAACAGTGGACTTTCATAAAAAGATTCTTTACTCACAAATGACTAAAAATTCAGTTTACATGTAACATTTTGTCATATGTAATAGTTCTTGTGCAATGTGACAAATAAAAATAGCAAGAAACAGATGACATATACACAGTAGCAACTGACACTGTAGGAAACAGCAGGAAATTGAAGACAAATACATAATAGTAACTGCTGTCTATTGAGATTATGAGTTTATACTATATTTATGATACCATTTGAGATACTTCATGAAGAGGTAATGTGAAATAAAATACAGACCTGGAAATATACATATACACATATCTATAGGTACATACTTAAAATATATATATATATATATATGTACATATATACACACACATAAGCATATACAGGCATACATACATTCACATATACATATACACATATTCTCTGGCATATATACTCTCATAGATACATATAAGCACTTTTGTGTGTACACACATGCATACATGCACATGCATATATGTATATATACATATACACATATCTAGATACACACATGCACTAATACACATAAACATACATATGCATTCACACGTATGGAGATGCACACATATACACACATACATGCATATATATGTATACACATATACACATACATGCATACATATTTTTAGCATAAATCTTGCCTGTGGGGTTTAGTGGTCTGGAGCTGTTCTTGTCCCCAAGACTAACGACCCTTGTGAGGCTGTGAAGCCTCCAGATTTTTATGGGCTATAGTTTGAAAACTAGCCAGTTCTCATCTCACACCTTAGCAGTAGCCTAATGGGCAGATGAATTATAAATGAGATAACTGTCATTGGTAACAGGAGACATGAAAGGAACAATGGCTGTTCCTGGAGAAAAGCTGCTTGTGTGCTTTGGTTTCATGTCCTGCTCTTACCTGTCAGATACTCTCTGGCAGTGGCATCATTCTCTGAATCTGCAGATTGTGGTGGAGAGGATCGTAGGGAGCACATCAGGTTAGTGAGACATGGAGGAGAAGCTGAATTGCTGTTTCTTCACTCACTTTGGAAATACTTAACTGAAAAGTGTAAAAATACACCTTTGAACAGAAAAAAGTGAAAGAGACACAGAAAAAGAGTGAGAAAAATAACCCTGCCACATAAGAGATGATACTGTGCTTTCATTTCATCTAGTTATTTATTTGTTCTAGTTTTTCCAAACAGGCTGGCCTCAAACCTATTATGCAGTTGAGGGTGGCCTTGAACTCCCGATCTTTTACTCCTTCCTCTGAAGTGCTGGGATTATGGATATGTGCTGCCTCCCCCTGATTTTAAAGCACATATTGGAGTATGGTCTCATGAGTTGTCAGTCCAAATAAAGGGCTGAAAGTAGCAAGCTGGGGGAAATGACTGACTCAAAACAAGGGAGCACAACGAATGGTTTGCAGTTTAATACTTAAATGGCTAAATGTGAACTTTATTATCCTCACAAAGCAAAGAGCTAATTATCCTTGTTTTGGTCTATTTTTCTTCCAGGCTGACTTGGATGCTCAAAGACCACCAAGACCCGAAGTGACAATCACTGGCCCTCAAGAAAATGAAGAGAATGAACAAAACAAGGACTCTTCTGCTGTGGCATAGATGGTTTTAAAGAAGAGAATACATGGGATGTAAGAGCATGAAGGGATGTAATACTTGAATAGTGAACATGACACCTCTGTAAGGCAGATGTGGCAATATGGTGGGACACTACCTGTTGAATTTTAAAACTAGAAGCTAAATGGAAGGGAGGTTAGGAAATTTGTAGCTCAAAGCAGAATGACTTATGTTTATGACAGATGTAAAAAAAAATCCTTTAAAAGAATCAAATAAGTGAGACAGAGTGGATTTGTACCTTAAGACAGTTGACTACCTGCTGTGGTTGTAAAGGAGAAGGATGTGGGCTATCTCCCATTAGATACTTTATTATAGAGTTGAAAGCAAGACTATTGGCAGCTTGTTCTAAAGCACTTATCTAGGGAAATATAGACTTTTAAAGAATTGGTAATAGGAAAACATGTATTATGTTCTTAAAGCAATAAACTGTTGATTGAACAAATTGCAATTTAGTTTCAGAGGTAATTTGAAGATGGCAATATATCTAAATGGCCTAAAGCCACTGACATTCCTTCTTTCCTCCAGCCAAGGTCTACCTCTGGCAAAGTCAAAACAGTCTTCTGGGGGAGGAACTGTTTCTCCAGGGCATTTGTGATCTGCACCAGGTGTATCTGCTGTGGCACACTCTGAAGCAGGAACCAGGGAGTGAAATATAGAAATCCTGAGATATTCACTGGTCTAGTCTGTTTGTACCAGGAACAAACCCTTTCCCCTCCCATATTCTGTTGGAAACAAAATATTCGTTAAGATTGAATTCTTTCCAGGATTAAAAAAAAAAGAATATTTTACTAAAAACAAGGGAATAAGAATAGGATAGATTAGGAAGCAACAAGTAGAAGAGTTTTTTTTTTTTTTTTTTTTTTTTTTTTTTACCATCTAGTTCCTTTACTTCTTACTGTGTTTCTGTCAGGGCTGTCATAGTGATATCATATCCATCCATCCATCCATCCATCCATCCATCCACCCATCCATCATCTCCTAACCTTTTAGACTTTCAAGCAGATTTTGAAGCCTTTTTTAGCCTTTAAAGCAGATTCTTTTCTATAAATTTCCATCTGATGGAAATTGGTAAAACAAAAACAAAAACAACAACAACAACAACAAAAAACCCTGAATTTTTTTCTATAGCTCCTGATTTTACTTTGTGAATAGATTGAATTAATGTGCTTTCACCTTATGGGGTATAGATGAAAGATTAATTGCATTAGTTTGATGATCACAGTGGAGATGAGATGCCTCTTCCCTAAATATAGATATATTATGTCTTTTCCATTTTAAAGAATATATTTTTACTCATATAGAAGATTTAAACTGGGAAATTTTAACTTCTAGTGCTTTTGTAAGATCCATTACTAAAGTCTAAAAGATTGTTTTCTCCTCCAGATTTCACAACCAACCATCTGGGATCAAAATAGTTGTGGGTTACATATACTAAAGTAATATAGAAAATAGATGCATTTCCCTCAAAAGCTATTTTGATTTTCCAGAAATAGAAAATAGGAGCAGAGCATATGATGTCAAAGTATTTGAAAGAGATCCTGCCACAGGGCCTGGGAATCCGGGAGGATGGCTTTTAACTGGAACACAATCTGGATTGTGCTTTGTCTGTACCATCCTACTTTTCCAAATGTGACGGTATAGCATATGGGGATTGTCAGCAGCCATCTTGCACTGGTAGGGAAAAAGAGAAGCTGGCCTTCCGATGTTAAACTCTGGGGTCTGGGGTTGACGATGTAAATAGTTTCTAAAATTGAATATAAGGAATTTTGATGAATTTCCAAACTGATTCTCTTCTTTGCAGTGAAGGGCATTTCTCCTTAATGGAGTATCTTTCTTTGTCCCCACCCTTTCCCCCATTTCACTGTGATGCTTAGGTTCCAGGGATGCTCTTGACAGCTGCCTTAATGGGGTACAACACTAGCATTTTACATGAAAAATAAATTTTGAGATTTTAAGAACATTTTAAGAAGATTACAGGCACAATAGCAACAGATAAAATCTTGAAGTAGACGGGGATATCATCTTCTCTTGTGCATGATTTTAATACCTGGGACCCAAACATGTGACTCAAATAAAAATCATCTGTATACATTGTCTAACCAAACATATACTTAATTGTCTAACCAAACATTAATCAATTTTTCACTGGGAATTAAAACTGTAGGCATAACTCTAAAGCTGATCTTAGCAAAAGTTGAAGGTAAGTTCACCTCTCTACAGCGGCAGTCTCTTCTATGGAAATGGGGTGACTCTGATAGGTTAGGTCCACAAGTAAGTGAGGCTTCCTGACAGATTTGGGAAGTGTGTATAGAACATAGGAATGAGGCCCCAGTGAAGGATCGTGAATCATTTATAGAGAGGGTGCTTGGATATATATATATCCAAAAGTATTGCTTGAGGTGTCAGTTCTTTGCAATTTCTCAGTTTTAATTTTATATCACTGATGTATTAGCCACACTTCCGTTTTAAAGACACTTATGATCATTGGTTTGCTGGTGGAATTGGAACACTGGGAGTTTTGTACTTGACCAGAAGTGACTTTGACTGATGTCACCTTCAGTCAAGGTATCTGTTGAAGCCACTATTGCATGCCCATCACCTTCCAGTTACTATCACTACAGTGCAGCCCCCTGTTCTCTATCTTCACCTGGGGTCTTGAGGAGGCTTGTTATTTAGATGTTTTTCTTGCATTTTATTTTTTAGTGTCAGAATGTCAGACTCACACATAGGAAGAGCATGATATGGTCCTGTTTCCAGTTTTATTCTGAGAGGGCTAATTCTTGCTGTGGTGTCCAAAGGCACACCATATCATACATGTGGCTTAGAATCAGTCACATATCTCTGTGGGTGCACAGCTGTGAGGTGACACTGACATGTTATATGCTGCCTATCCTAGGGAAGGGCTCAAAACCCAGAAGCCTCAAGTTTTCTTTAGAGGGCTGGCAAAATGGCTCAGCAGCTAAGGTGCTTGCTACCAAGCCTGACACCCTACACTGTGACATGCACATACACAAAGCCTCCTCCTCCACCACACAGTTAAATCAATACACATCATTTTATTTAGACAACCTGTCTTATTCGTAGAGGATGCATTTCACTCATATAGAAAGATCAATATGCTTAAAACTGTGGCTGTGGTTGGGCACAAGTGGCTCACACCTGTAACCTCACAACTTGGGAGCTGGAAGTGGAATCAAGAATTACAAGTCATCCTTGGCTACACAGTGTATTTGGAGCCAATCTTTGCAACTTGAAACCCTGTCTTAAAAAGCAACCAACCAACTGACCAACCAACCCACCCACCCACCTACCCACCCCTAACTAAAGCTAAACTTGCCACTGCAGAAAAATCAGAAGGGTATACCCATCATGTTACCAGAAGGCACATCCATCAAAAATATTGCTTCTAAAGAATCAATTCCACGCTTTTATTGTTGTTAAAGTAGCATAAACAAAGTGGAAAGGTAAACTAATCACTGAGTAGAAAGTTTCTCATCTGAACTGGTGCCTATTAGAACAAAGCAGAAAACCTAATGTAGATGCATATCAATACTTCGATGGCATACCCATGCACTGTCAGACATTAGGAAGGGACTCCTCACTCATGTTCATACAGCAAGGCTCTCACATGGAGAGAAGCAGTGCTAACTGTGAGAGCAAACCCTGAAAGGCTACTGTTAATGCAGTGTCTTAAAGCTGCCAGCTTCATTTAAACTAGGCATGGTGGCACATGCCACTTTTCCCAGTGCTCTAGTGCAAAGGGGTCAGAAGTTCGAGGTCATTTTCAGCTACATAATGAGTTTCAGGCCATTCTGAGCTATAAGAGGCCTGTCTAAAACAAGAAGGAAGGAATGCTAAAATTAGTTTCTCATGTTAAAAATGAGAGATGTATATCTAGTTTCCTGAATTGATGACAGACTACAGTTTGTGCAGCATCATAAAGTACTATGTGTACCATTTTGGGGGGAGGGGGTGTGGAGAAAACCTAGAACTCTCCTTGTGTCCAGAAACTGGGTACATCATAGTGTGATTGAAATACAATGTCGCTGGGGGTGGAACCATTTTCTTGAAGGTTAGTCTGTTTTTCCAACCAGAGACCCCTCCCCAGAGTTTCTTGATACTAACTATCAAGTTTATAAACTTGATAAGGTTTTTGCTTTTGAAAAATACCTTGGCATATAGATAGTTCTTGCATTTGGATTGTACATTTTGCCCCATGAATTCTGAAAGACAAGTATGTAATAAAAGAATGCCCTGTATGTTGGGAAGGAAATAAATTATTACTTTTTAAGAGTCATAACACTTGAAGGAGAGCTGGAATTAGGAAAGAATTAAAAATAACAAGAAAAAACAAAAGCACTTATAAAAACCAGAGGAGACTAGTGGGCTCTGGTCTTCGGCTGGCTAGCTTCGCTCTGTGAATGGGACCAAATGAATTCTGTGAAGGTTTATGAGCTTGAAATGCATGGTTTAATTGGCTGTTTCAGTTTTCGTCAGAAAATGGGAGAGATGCTGATCAACTTTAGAAGACTGCAAAAAACTCTGTTGCTTTTGTGTTTTCCTTTTGTCTTAAGTTGTTGACATGCACATAGTAGTGGGTTATTTTTAGTGCACTATGTAAAGATTCAATTAAGCTCATCATTTCTATAGCATTTATTATACTTAGAATGTCTTTTTGTCAGGAAAAGCGTGTGCTGTAATCGAATTGTGAGATGTATCTTTTATTTCTGTATCAGAGCACATTCTAAAATGCTTGTATACCTTACCTGTCCTGTGAGTAGAGTGTTTTCGTGTAGTTAACATACATGTTCAGCATTCCCATATGATATGGTGATGTTAATATTTCATGTGTGAATCCCTTTTGTAGCATTTTCCAGGAACACAATAGCTATAACAGACCTATGTAGGTATTCAGCTTGTTAGAGGATACTTCTGTTTGTATATAGCATAGATATTAAGCTCCATCATGTAATTTTTTTTTACAATTTCATATGCATGTTTACTTGGATAAAATTCAGATCTATTAAAATCGTTATTTCTTTATTTTATGAAATATATTTAGAGATGCACAAGTTCAGAGGTTTTGTGATACTCATGACGTGTATTTTGTATACAGACAACCACAGAAATAAATGTGTAATTTTACAGAGAGTTTCACTCAAATGCAGTTTGTGGT